GGGGATGGGAATGTGGGAAACGGGATGGGAGCGCGGGAAACGCGATGGGAGCGCGGGAATTGGGGATGGGAGTGAGGGAATTGGGGATGGGAGTGCGGGAAAGGGGATGGGAGTGAGGGAATTGGGGATGGGAGTAAGGGAATGGGGATGGGAGTGTGGGAATGGGGATGGAAGTGAGGGAATGGGGATGGGAGTGAGGGAATTGGGAAGGGAGTGAGGGAACGGGGATGGGAATGTGGGAATGGGGATGGGAATGCAGGAAACGGGGATGGGAATGTGGGAATTGGGGATGGGAGTGAGGGAATTGGGATGGGAGTGAGGGAATTGGGGATGGGAGTGAGGGAACTGGGATGGGAGTGAGGGAACTGGGGATGGGAATGTGGGAACTGGGGATGGGAATGTGGGAATTTGGGATGGGAATGTGGGAAACGGGACGGGAGTGCAGGAATTGGGATGGGGATGTGGGAATTTGGGATGGGAATGTGGGAATAGGGATGGGAATGAGGGAATTGGAATGGGAATGAGGGAATTGGGGATGGGAGTGCCGAAGCCCCGCACGCCCGGAGCAGCCGCCCCTGCCTGGCACAGCCGGGCTGGGGAATGGTTTGCTTGCCTTCCCCCTGTTTTTTGGCTGATTTTCCCCTGGTTTTTGGCTGATTTTCCCCTCTTTTTTCCTGCTTTTTTCCTATTTTTTGCCTGTTTTCCCCTCTCTTTCTTTTGCTGCTTTTTGGCTGCTTTCCCCCCTCTTTTTTCCAGCTTTTCCCCTCTTTTTTCCTGCTTTTTCCTTCTTTTCAGATGCTTTTCCCCTGTTTTTTTTTCTGCTTTCCCCCTAATTTTTTTGCTGCCTTTTCACTCTTTTTGGCTGCTTTTTCCTTGGTTTTTTTGCTGCTTTTCCCCTCTTTTTTTTGCTTTCCTTACCTGAGCCTTCTGCTGGAATCGCGGGGCTGTCCTGGCTCCCATCACGTACCCCCGGGTGCTCATGGGCCGGGTGCTCGTGGAGGATTTGAGGATGTTCTGTTGCAGTGTGAAAGCCAAAATTATTTCTTGATATTATTCAAAGGCATCCTTTGCAGGGCAGGAATGCATGAGCAGCAGATACTCTTCCAATTAAACTTATTCCTAATTATTCCCTTAATTTCTCACTGCTGCAGAGCCTCGAGGATCTGTTAGGAAAGGAGATCATTCCTTTTTTCAGGAAAATTTCCTTTTTCCATCCTGGAGTGGGTTTGCAGGGCAGGGGTGGCCCTGTAACTCATGTGCCCTCTACTGATTTATTAAAAAATACGGATATTGATCTAGTACCGATATCCAGCTGTGAGGGACAAAAACTCTCTGACAGTTTAAAGTTACAAAGTGTGTGTTTATTGTGTTTATTGTGTTTATTGTGTGTGGGATTGCTCCCAAATCCACACCGCAGCTTCCAGGTGATTGCAGAGCCCTTTTATCCATACAAATACCCAAAATACAAATACATATTCATCATTTTGGTACATCCCATTCCTCACTTCGTATGCTAATTATTTCAAAAGCTATTTAAGCATAGTTTGTTCTTTGAAATGGGTCCCTTTCATGGGGAGGGGTCCCAAAATGAGGAAGTCAATGAAGTCTTCCTCCTTCTGACCTTTCTACCTTTTCAATGCCAATCTGACAAATGAACTCTTGGGAGAAATCCCATTTTTTGTCTTCAATTGGTTTCAGAACAGAGGAGGCCACAATTGTCTTATGTTCCTAAAAGCTATTTATCAATTTATATTCTTCATTATAAACCCAGATAACTCAACATTGTCCTGACGAGCAATCAATTATTAGTTAACTCCTAACTCTTAACTCCATCAAGGCCTACTCATTTATTTGAATTAACTCTAGTAAGGTCTCTCTAACTAAAATCTCAGCTCCTCTAAACCTCTAAATTCTTTAAAATGGACGTTTCACTGCCAGTGAGCCCGGGATGAAGGAGGAGCTCACCTCTGGCCCCAGGTAGGAGCCTGGCCCCAGGAAGGGGCTGCCCTGCGCCCCGAGCGCCTCGATGCCCAGCCTGTCCGCGCCAAAGTGCTGCGGGAACATTTTCCGCTCCTGAGTTGTCCCAAAGGAGATGAGCTTTGCCACGGCTGGGGGACGGGCACGGGGAAATGCTGCAGTGGGATAAACAAGGGAGAAAAAAGAGAGAAAAGAGAGAAAAGAGGGAGCACTGCTGTCGCCCTGATTCTTAGGATTTTCTGAAGCCTTCTGAGTTTACATTCTGTTCAAAAACTTCCCCACGCATTTTCTATAAACAACATATTGTTTTGCATCCCTTCGTGGGGGTGGAGGAAGTTGATGTACTGGTGGTTTGTCCAATGTCTTTGGAGAGGTGGCACCTTCACTCTCCAATCCACTGTCACCTTTGGAAAAGTATAAAAGTTGGAGTCAGAAAATAAACCTTCTTCTTTTTTACCTTGCCATCGCAGTGGCTCGTGCTGTGCTTTCTCGTGTCCTATAGCGACACACTGCCTTCATCCTCTGCTCCAAAGCCACGAGGGGAATGAGGGATTTGTCTTTCCAAACAGATTTGTCTTTGTCCTGGATATTTGGGAGGGGTTTTGTTGTTATTGGACACGAAATGAGTACACAGAAGCTTGGTGAGTTCAAAAGAGAAAAACACCCAGTTTTATTCAAACATCTGGGATTTATAGAATTCCAAAGGTGACCGTGGATTGGAGGATGGAATTAGCACCTCTCCAACCTCTGCTCCAAAGATCGATCAATCATTCCTCTCCACCGCAGAGAAATCTGTAAACAATTCCATTTATGCATGAAATGGTGTGGGAACTCTGCCTCTCAAGCATCTAACATTATCAGATGGCTAAAGAAGTTTTATGAGAACTTTAACACTTTCAAAAGAGCTATAAAAGAAAAGTAAACACTTTTAAAAATCAGGGCAACAACTGCCAAGGTAGGGCAGCAAAAAATCCCTGGCTGGGTTGGAATCCGAGCCCTTCCCTGTCGCTGCTGGACACGAAATGAGTGCACAGAAGCTTGAGGAGTTCAAAAGAGAAAAACACCCAGTTTTATTCAAACATCTGGGATTTATAGAATTCCAAAGGTGACCGTGGATTGGAGGATGGAATTAGCACCTCTCCAACCACGCTGCTCCAAAGATCAATCACTCATTTCTCTCCATCACAGAGAAATCTGTAAACTATTCTATTTATCCATTAAATTGTGTGGGAACCCTGCCTCTCAAATATGTAAATATTATCAGATGGCTAAAGAAGTCTTATGAGAATTTTAAAACTTTCAAAATAACTATAAAAGAAAACATTTTTAAAAATCAGGGCAACAGGGTCTGCTCTTTCCTCTCCAAAGCCACAGGGGGCTGAGAGGAATGACAGATTTGTCTTTTTGTGGCTCTGCTGGTAGATAAAACCAGCGCTGAGAGAGAAAAGAAACAGTGGGAAGGATTCCACTGATTGGTGGATGGGAAAAAAAGGTATTTGCCTTTTCAAACAAACTGTAGGTTGGCTGAATAAATGAAATTGGATATTGAAAGATGATAGAAACAATGAGGGAAAATCCTAAATTCCATAAGAATTAAAAATTTAAAGGGAGGGTTGTACATTAGAGGGGAATCTCTAGTTTCAGGCGTTCTGGGAAGTCTGAACCTCTCAAGTACCTCAGACAAGGGGGAAAGAGCGAAACTGGGATAAAAAGGAGGCAGCATCCTCCAAAAATTGGAGAGACCCCAGGGAATGCTCCATGGCCTCTCCCATCATTGGATAAAGTAAAAGAACTCCTCTGTCTCCTTTTGGGCACAAACCTTAAGTTTGTGGGTTCATTTTCCTGGCAGGGCTGATTTTTCCCAGCCTGAGCAGGGAATTGGCATCTGGGAAGATCCTGGAGAAGTTGATGGCAGTGGGGAGGTTGTGGCAAGCACATTTCTCTCCCTCTCAGGATTTTTCATGGAGGTGCACAGAGAGAAATGAAAGAGAAAACAATTTCTATTTCTGCTCCTTGTTTTTCCCATGCGGAATGTGTTGGGAGAATTGTTTACCTGGGGTGAGTGCTGGGTTGGATTCTGGTGAGGATTGTTTGAGCCTGGTGGTCAATCCAATCCAATCCAATCCAATCCAATCCAATCCAATCCAACCCAATCCAATCCAATTTTATCCAATCCAATCCAATCCAATCCAATCCAATCCAATCCAATCCAATCCAATCCAACCCAACCCACCCGGGGCTGGACTCAGAAAGGGTCACGAGTCGTGTTAGAGTCAGAGAAAGCAGTATGTAGTTTTATTATCCTCCTTTTATATATTATATTAATGTATTTTAGCACAGTTATAATAAAGAAATCCTTCAGCATTCTGACTGAGTCAGACCTCAGCATTTCTGCCCATTGGGTTCTCCTGCATTTCCATCAGGAGGTAAAGGAGAAGAGAGCCCAGCCCCCCTGGTGCCCCCAGCTCTCACCTTTGGGGTCGTGCCGTGCTGCCATCCTGGGGCAGAGCCGGGCTCAGGTGCCATGGGCAC